CCACCGTCGGGGGGGAGGGGCGGCCCGGCTCGCCGTCGCCCCCCACGTCCTGCAGGAAAGAAATTATTGTGGCCCGCCGGCGCCTCGCCGCCGCCCCCTTCGGGGAGGCGACCGGCGACACGCCGACGCGCCCGCGGTCGGGAGGGTCTCGGTGGCCCGCCGCGCCCCCACTCCGCCGGCGGACGGTTCCGCGCCGACCCGCGCGGCGCCGGCTGCTGGTGGTCGCTCCAACCTGCTCGCCTCGATCCAGTCGGGCGCCAAGCTCAAGAAGGTGGACCGCCCCGAGCCCAAGTCGCGCGCCGCGCAGGAGCCCTCGCTCCTCGACCAGATCCGCAAGGGTACCTCGCTCAAGAAGGCGTCGGAGCGCAAGCTGCCCGAGCCCAAGCCGTCGACGACCTCGGCCGGCGGCATCAACGTCGCCGCCCTCATGGCTGCCATGAACACCCGTCGCGCCGTCATCGACGACGACGACAGTGACGACGACGACGACGACTGGGACGACGACTCGGACGACGGCTGGTGATCAGCGTATGGCCGCCCCGGCCACTGCGGTGACGTGTGTGAGTTCAATGAACATAGCGCGAGTTTTGCCGCCCCCGCCCGAGCAGCCAAGCCAACAAGCCATCACAGGTCGGAACGGCACTGGGCAATGACCGACTTGGGAATCTTGGCCGGCTCGTAGCACTTTCGCTTGAGGATGTGGACAAACTGGTCGAGGTCGATGGTGGTCGACGGGTTGAGGCGGACGTCGGCGTGGAACTTGTCGTAGTCATAGTCGCCCTCGTCGGGCCAGTGGCGCGCATCGAGGATCATGAGCTTGAGCTCGTCGTGGGTGCCCTCGGCGTCGAGGGCGTCGGCGACAGCGCGCAGATTGTCGTACGAGATGGAGCCGGAGCGGTCGGCGTCAAAGAGGAGAAAGGCCTTGCGGAGATCGTCCAGCGAGTCCGGGGCATTGATCTTGCGGGTGACAACCTCCAGAAACTCCGAAAAGTCGAGAGTGCCCGAGGCGTCCGTGTCGACGGCGGCAATCATGTGATCGATCTCGTCGGTCGACGGCTCAAAGCCGAGTGCCCGCATGGCCACCCGCAGATCGAGGGCGTCGATGGTGCCGGTGCCGTCGGCGTCAAAGAGGTCAAAGGCCTCGCGGATCTCGTTCTTCTGCTGCTGAGTCAGCACAATCTGCCGCCGCTTCCGCTGCACGCCCTGCTCCGTCTCGACCTTGGCCTTCTTCTCGCGCTTCTCCTTCCGCCGCACTTCGCGGACAGAGTACTCGGAGACGTACTCCTTCTTCTGCCGGTGCTGCTCGCGCTTCATATCCTCCACAGGGTCGTACCCCTTGCCCATCTCGAGCGACATGACTTCAGCAGCCTGCGGTGAGAGGGATGTGGCGCGGAGGTGTGGGTGTGGGGTGTGGGGTGTGAGGTGTGGGGTGTGGGGTGTGACCGGTGCGGTCGGTTGCCGAGCGCGCGGTTGGCAGACCCCACAGCAGGCGGAACCGCTTGGCGGCGGTGCGGTGCGAACGAACCGATCGATCGAGCTGACGCCGACGGCGACGACCTGCACAGGCCAGAGACTATCGAGGCACCCCACCCCACACGGCAGGCTCTGTCGTCAGGCGACAAGGCAAACACTCCACCCCCCCCTCCCTCCCTCCCCTCCCGCACCTCTTACACCCCCCACCTCCTACACCCCCCACCTTCTACACCCTCTCACCCTCCCCCAGTTGCCCCCCCTCTGTCGGCTGCAACACCACAGCTGCCATGTCCGGACAGGACCCGTTCTACTCGGTCAAGGAGTACGTGGCATCTCCTC